CGGCGTCGGCGGCGGCGGAGGAGAGAGAGAGGAGGTTGGTTTTGAGGAGGAGAGAATGGAGCTGTCGTTTGAGAGAAGAGGGAGAGTGCGGCATTTGAGGACGAGCAAAACAAGAATCCGCCTTTTTTGTTGGCGCTTAAAAGTTTAAATATTGGATAATTTACGAGTAGCCCCTTATGTCTTCCTTCACTAACATGGACGAATTTTCAAAACCAACCTATTTCCACATTTTATACCAAAAAAAACATGTTTTGAACTTATTTTCAAAAATCGATCTGGTTTCAGCCCTGACGCTGAAATCAGGTCGGTTTTTGAAAATTTTTTTTCCAAAACTTCACGGGAGTTCAACTCCCGTGAAGTTTTGAAAGCATTTTCACATAAACCGACCTGGTTTCAGCGCTAAGGCTGAAACCAGGTCGGTTTTTACAAATAAGTTCAAAACAGGTCGTTTTTTGGGATTAAATGTTCAAATATGGTGGTTTTGAAATTTGTCCTCACTAACATAACATTCGATAATTGTAAAAACAAAAGGATTAAAGAAAAAAAGAAAAATATATGGTGAATTGTACTTAAACACAGATACACAGCTTGGATAATACCCGGACCCGGACCCGGACCCGGGTCCGAACCCAAATAGCTCCCATCTTCCTTCTCCAAAGTCGCCTTCTTTTCTACTAAAACCCTAAAAATCGAAGCCCTAAACCCGGACGTCCCTCGGACCAAAAAAAGGCCCTTCAACCCTAACCCTAACTCACTCCCGCGACTCTCCGACCTCGCCGCCACGTAACCCCTAATGTCACCCGCCGGCCCCTGCGACCACCCGCCTCCAGAACTCCATCCGCCACCTCGTCCCCTCCTCTACAACCAAACCCTAGTCCTCTCCCGTCCTCTCCTCAACCTCTCCTGATCGAGCCCTTCAGTCTCTTTCGTATGGGGTCGCAAAAGACCGGCTTCCGCCACTCTTCAGCATACCGTACTCCCACATAATCTCAATCCTCACCCGCAACTCGATGCTCAACCACGCCCGCTGCCTCCTCCTCGACGACATGCCCAAGCGCCAAATCCCCCCGTCAGAGGCCATGTTCGCCGACCTCATTGCCGGGTACGGCAGGGCTAGGATCCCGCAGGAAGCTGTGAAGATTTTCAGGGCCATGCCTGGGTTGGGCGTCGAACGCACTTTCGTGTCGTACGACGCCTTCTTCAAGGCGATTTTGAGGAACGGCCGGGTTTTGATGGCGAAGAGGGCGTTTAATTTCATGGGTAGGGAAGGGATTGTTCCGGCATTGTCGACTTATAATACCTTGATTTGGGGGTTTTGCTTGTCGGGGAAGATGGAGACTGCGATTAGGTTCTTTGAGGACATGAAGGCGAAGGGGTTTAAGCCGGATGTAGTTACGTACAACACGGTGATCAATGGGTGGGTGAGAGGGAAGAAGATGGAGGATGCGGAGAAGGTGTTTGATGAAATGAAGGACGTTGGAGTCGAGCCGAATTTGATCACTTATAACTTGATGATCAAAGGGTTTATGGCGAGTGGAAAGATCGATGATGGGTTGAAATTGTTTGGCGAGTTGAGGAAGAAGGAGATGAGAACGACAGAGAGGACTTATGCTGCATTGATGCCATGGCTATGCGATGATGCAGGGAGAACTGAGGATGCGAAGAAGGTGTTTGATGAAATGGCTGAGAGAAGAATCACGCCTAAGAATAAGAACAAGTCGGTGTTTTTGAGGTTGATTGCGAGCATGTTTGAGTCTGGGGATTTGGATGGGGCAATTGATGTTCATAAGGCTATGGGTAAGTTTAGGGTTAGGCTCGATTCGTGCTATTATGGACTGCTAATTGAGGGATTGTGTCGAGGAGAGAAGTTCGATAAGGCGGTGGAGATGTTAGATGAGCTTCTTGAAAGAGAAGTGTTAGCACCGCTTGATAGTGCTCCTCTTGAGCCCTCGGCATATAATCCCATGATTGGGTATTTATGCGAGAATGGGTGTACGTCAAAAGCTGAGAATTTTTTCAGGCAGTTGATGAAGAGAGGAGTCGATGATAAGATTGCGTTCAATCACTTGATTCGTGGGCATTCGAAAGAAGAGAAACCCGAGTCAGCATTCGAGATTTTAAGCATCATGACTCGTCGAGGAGTTGAGACCGATGCTGATGCTTATGTTTTGCTCATTGAGAGTTTCTTGAAGAAGAAAGAACCAGCTGATGCTAGAACAGTTTTAGATGGGATGATTGAACAAGGGCACTCGCCAAGTGCGGAAATTTTCAGGTCTGTGATGGTCGGCTTGTTCGAAGATGGAAGAGTCCAAACTGCAAGCAGGGTGATGAAATGTATGATCGAGAAGGGTATTAAAGAGAATATTGACATGGTTCAGAAGATCCTAGAAGAACTTCTAATGAGAGGTCATGTCGAAGAAGCTTTAGGGCGAATCAATCTGATGTTGATGAATGAGTTATCTCCTGACTTCGATAGTTTGGTGGTCTCTCTATGTGATAGTAATAAACCGGTGCCAGCGGTTAAATTGGTTGACTTTGGGCTTGAAAGGGATTGTGAGATTGCATTCTCAAGTTATGATCGGTTGCTCGATGCTTTGTATAATGATGGAAGGATATTGGCGGCTTACTCGATATTATGTAAGATTAAGGCGAAGGGGGGAGTTGTGGATAAAAAAGGATGTGAAGCTGTGATCAAGAGTTTGAATGAGCAAGGGAACACGAAGCAGGCTGATATTTTATCGAGGATATTAGCTGGAAAAATGCCGGTGGATGGTAAGAAGGGGAAGAAAGTTGCTGTTGGTGCATATTGAAGAGTTTTGATTTAGGGTTTTAGGATCAGCTTGATTTTCTTTGTGACAGTTGTTCTTCTTTGTTGTCGTTGCTGCTGCTGTTGGATAAAGAGATGGAAATGCTCGATTGGTTGGTTAAGGTACATTATTATGCATCCTTGCCACCGGACTCTTTGAAGTATCATCAGTGGATTGTCTGTTGGTTTCTAAGTTCTGCTTCATCAAATTGAATTTACAGTTAAATATTCATAATCTTTTAAGCTTTCATGCTGAATAGTAGTTCTAAGCTAGCGTATATACATTTCTTTTTGAAGGTAACTGAGCCACTAAACGAAACTAAACAAAATAGAATTATGTAATAGACTAAATATTGATCGAAACAGTCATTTTGCTATAATATACTGGTGATCTAGGTCGTAGTAAAATCTAGACTGTAATAGGGTGGCATTTTAACTGCTATGATCTTGGCATGCTGGTAACAAAATCTATATTGTAATCGAGTGGTATGTTAGCCGTTATGATCTTAGTATGTTGATGATCTTGAATTGTAGTGATAAGAATGAGAGGCATTTTAGCAGTCTAGTAGTCTATACATGAATGGCATGTTTGCGGCACATCCACCAAGACCGGAGACATACTTTTGTTAGACCCTAGAGGGGGGTGATTAGGGTCTTATGCTAATCTACTCCGATTTTATGCCAATTAAAACTAATAACAAGTTCTCCTAGCAAGTATAAAATATAACAAAATATGTGAGCTAGGATAAGTGATATACACAAGGGTAAACAAAATAAACAAGATAGTGGATGATATAAATAATGAGCAATGGACAATGACGACAAGAAATATAAACATAAGAGAAGTGCGCCAAAGCAAACTCAAACACACGATATGATCACGGAGTTCGGACCTTCTGTCCTACGTCTTCGCTCCCGCGCCAAAGCAAACTCAAACACACGATATGATCACGGAGTTCGGACCTTCTGTCCTACGTCTTCGCTCCTCACTCTTGGGAAGAAATTCACTATCACAATCGGGTTTTCTACGGTTACCCGAATAACGTTTATACCTCATAATGTCGGTTTTCAACGTTCACCGATCAACGTTCACACCCCACACTCTCACTCGGTTTTTTAGCTCACCGAAAACTTTACAACAACACATTCGGTTTTCTAGCTCATCGAAAACCTTACAATCTCACAATATAACAAAAGTTGTTCTCTACAATGGATGAGAACTCAATTAAGCACAACTTAATGTTACAATCCCACAACCCAAATTATACTATGAATGTAAATACAATAAGCTCAAGTGGGTGTGTGTAAACAATGAGTGAAATCAAATCTAAACTCAATATAAATCTAGCTTTAATAAAATGATAATCAAACAAATAGATATAAGCTAGAAATAGAGTTTAGAAAACTTCTCAATAGATCAAGAGATAGAGGGAGAATAGTTGGATGCTCAAAGAAAACTTCTCAATAGATCAAGAGATAGAGGGAGAATAGTTGGATGCTCAAACTCCAATAGATGATCTCCTCAAGCTCTTGTAGAATTGATTTTACAAACTCAAACTCTCAAATGCTTAAAAGATTTTTAAACAAACACTAAACAAAACTTAAACCCTTTTTAAAACTTTGTTAAAACATTTTCTTGGGATATGAGAATAGTTATGACAAAAGGGTATATATAGGGTAGAAGAAAACAACCCAAAAAACCCTAAAAATCCATTAAAAAACAAAAATCAGCAAGTTATCATTACTGTACAACGATAACGTCGGCGGTCGACTGTGGCGGTCGACCGCGAGAAGTAAAACTGTAAAACTGCTCTCTGGACTGCTGACGGTCGACCGTGACGGTCGACCGCACTTTTTCAGATTTTGACAGATGCTGAAATTTTACGTATCTGACTTTGTAAAATCAATTAAAAATAGTAAATCAACTCCAAAAATCATTAAATTTTGAGGGAAGGTTCTAGACATGTAGATGAATATGTTAGAGAAAGAATTTCTGAAATATCACTTCCCAGTTGAGAGGAGTAATTGTTTGAAAACAGATATACAGTTTCTAAAAAAAAAACTGCTGAAAACACGTTTATGTAAATTCAATTGAAAATAACAAAACAGCTACAAAATTAGTAAAACTTGGGGAAATGTTTGTATATATGATGATAAACATGTAAACAAGAAAATTTTCAAATCTGATTTCCCAATTGTGAAAACGCATCTGTTTTGCAAAAACATGCACGAACATGTGCACGAACATGAGCTTATAATTGTGAAAACGCATCTGTTTTGCAAAAACATGCACGAACATGTGCACGAACATGAGCTTATTAAAAATTTAATTTTGTAAATTTAAATAAACATAACAAATTAATTCCAAAATTGATAAAACTTTGGGAAACATTTATAAACATGAAATTGAACATGTTAGAAATAAAATTTCTCAAATTAAATTTTCCATTTGTGAAAACTCATGTATTTTGTAAGTGTGTCCAAAACATGAAAATGTGATATACATAAAATTTGATGTTTTGACATAAATAATGTTTTAAAACCCTATGAAATGATTTTATAGACTTAATAAAATATGTATACAATGATTGTTAAGTCCATAAACCAAAACTTGTGTATATATATAACTGTATATATAAAAATCAAATATGTGTGTATATATGATTGAGCTTAAAGTACTAACACACATAATATAAAACCTAAACTAAATATACCCAAGTTTGATTGATCTTCGATGTAGCTCAACTTGGTATACTTGCGGATAAAGCTAGAATTTGGATCTTCAATTTGAATTGCATAGGCTTCACTCCACAATTCCGCCAACCTCCATTTGATATGATCGTGAATGCTCGATTTCATCCATCATTTAACTTGTTGTTTGTCTACAATAAATAAAAATACATAAATACTAGACAAACAACATTAGTGGTAAATTGTTTGTTAAACATCGTCAAAACAAAGAGGCTAACAATCTTCCCTTTTTTGATGATGACAAACAATTTACAAAAAGGATATATGCATGAAATTAAATGAATATACAAAGTATAATATATCATGCATATAAACAAGAAGAATATACTCACAATATTTCTTCTCCTTTGACAACATCAAAAAGGGGACAAAGGGATGAAGAGAGCGAAAGCTCCCCCTATCAATATGCATTGGTGAGTATAAAAACAATAATAAAAAAGGGAAGACCTCCTATCAAAATGCCTTATGGAATATATGCAATAATGATCAAGGCACACATATGTGAGCAAGCATAGATGAATATGCAAAATATCACTCACATACAAAAAGACAATGAGAACACATATAAATATGTCAATATGAAAATAGTGTCTCATTAACACAAAAAAATAAAAACTATGTAAAAATAGATTTATGAAAACAAATGAAAGAATAACATGAGAATCATGCAAAAAGTTTTCAAATGAAAACAAATCACTCAAGTGAAATCATAAATCAAATGAAATCTATAAAAACATAAAACCAAACCATCATTGATTTTCAAAAATCAAGAGAGGCAACTATATCTAGCTCTTGAGTTAGTATCAACCCATATAAACATTTTAGCACCCGGTAAACAAGATTTGGGAACAAATACCCAATACCTAATAAATCCGAGGGGTTATATACACACAAACCTCTCATCAAAACAAAGTATATATATAAAAAAATATTTGATCACGAAAGCAAATTTTCTTTGAAAGTTTTGATCAAATCATATAAAGAGTGCATTATAAAGCATAAATAGATGATCCATAAGCATAAACACATAAATGTCATCATATAAGTGATTTATAATGAATTCAAAAATACAAATCAAACAAACACTTTCTTTTAAAGATTTTGAAAGTAGTTTTCAATAAAATCTAAAGATAAAAATCATCTTTAAGAACATGAAAAACTAAAAACATAAAAATTTGTTCTTAAAGATTAAACAAGTTTTGGCACCCAATTACTCTTGGTACCTAAGAGTCTATGACATGACCCCTATCATTAAAGCTCAAAGCCCTTAGGTTATGAACCCATTTGGGCGCATTTAGTGCACGAACATGGTCAAAACAAAAATTGTGTAAATGACCTTTCTGATTGCAATAAGTGCAATGAAAGAGGCCCATTTGATTTTGTTGACCAAGTGGCGGTACACAGGAATCATTTGCAAACATAGATGGTCTTTTAAGATTATTTTACAAATGAGAATATTGTTAAACAAATGTGGTTTATTTAAAATTTTTGGCAAGTTTGAATATTTTCTCAAATCAAAACAAAACTTTGCCAAATGGCCAAATCTACCACAAAAATTACATTTAAACACATTATCATGCTTATGATGAATTTTATGAGTATGAGCATGTGAATGTGTATGTGTACATGAAGATGAAGCTTGATGGATACACAAGGAACATTAGGTTTCATGGGTTTACGTGCATCATAGCAAAATTTAGCTAAATGGTCTTTACGACCGCAAATTGAGCATTTGTAAACTTTGCTATACAAGTGTGCATAGTGTGTGGGTGATTTAGAAGTTGTAATACTAGATTTAACACACTTGTCCATAAGTCTCTTATGATTATCAATGCATGTGTTAAGAGTTGAATTTAAAGATGAAATGCGATGTTTAATGTTATTCAACTCATCATTAGGCATAGAAGCATTGACAATAGAAGTAAGAGCAAACATGGTCATATTTAAATGATGTGAATTCATTTCTTATAGCCTCTACTTCTAACATGACATTGTTTTTCTCATGAGTTAACTTAGCAACATTTGAGATTAAAGAACCATGATCCAACTTTAATTTTTTTTTGTTTTCTTTTGGGATCACATTCTCATTAGAAATAGTCTCAAACCTAGATGCTAACAACTCATGATCGGATTTTAAACTAACATGCTTGCTTTTTAGATCTATAAAATTATTATACAATTTAGTATAGGCATGCATTAATCTATCATATGCATAAACGAGTTCATCACTAGATAAATCATTAATCGATTCGAACTCGCAAGCCTCACTAGGGCTATCGCCTAGTGGCCGTGTGCATGATGCTCCATATGAACTTGAAGCGGGATCCTCCAAAGCTTGTCGAATCGCCTCCAAGTCCCCTTGATGTGCTTCAATAAGTTTTCATAAGTCGTAAGCACTATCAAAATGAACAAACTTGTTAGACATAGATGAATTAAGAGCATTTAGCAAATATTCTAACAAAATCTTGTTCATTGTAAACATCCTTTTATCATGTTTGCTCCACTTGGATTTCTCTAACATGGGCACAATATAAGCATTTTTAATAATTTTCCATAAATCGAAATGTTTAGATCTAACAAATATATTAAATCTAGAACACCATTGGTCATAGGGAAAATCATTAAATTTAGGAACAATACTAGAATCATAGCCTAAACAAGATGCACCATTCATATCCATAATTTATAAAAATACGCAAGCAAGATACAAATGCAATCAAAACAAGATTAGCACAAAAAGATAACTTGGATCTTTAACTCAAGGCGATTAGACCGTAAATCAAAGAGCACCAAGCTCTGATACCAATTGTTAGATCCTAGAGGGGGGTGATTAGGGTCTTATGCTAATCTAATCCGATTAAATGCCAATTAAAAATAATTAACAAGTTGTATTCTTGCAAGTTTTATGCCAATTAAAAGTAATAACAAGTTCTCCTAGCAAGTATAAAATATAACAAGATATGTGAGCTAGGATAAGTGATATACACAAGGGTAAACAAAATAAACAAGATAGTGGATGATATAAATAATGAGCAATGAACAATGACGACAAGAAATATAAACATTAGAGAAGTGCACCAAAGCAAACTCAAACACACGATATGATCACGGAGTTCGGACCTTCCGTCCTACGTCTCCGCTCCCCCACTCTCGGGAAGAAATTCACTATCACAATCGGGTTTTCTACGGTTACCCGAATAACGTTTATACCTCACAATGTCGGTTTTCAACGCTCACCGATCAACGTTCACACCCCATACTCTTACTCGGTTTTCTAGCTCATCGAAAACTTTACAACAACACATTCGGTGTTCTAGCTCATCGAAAACCTTACAATCTCACAATATAACAAAAGTTGTTCTCTACAATGGATGAGAACTCAATTAAGCACAACTCAATGTTACAATCCCACAACCCAAATTATACTATGAATGTAAATACAATAAGCTCAAGTGGATGTGTGTAAACAATAAGTGAAATCAAATCTAAACTTAATATAAATCTAGCTTTAATAAAATGATAATCAAACAAATATATATAAGCTAGAAATAGAGTTTAGAAAACTTCTCAATAGATCAAGAGATATAGGGAGAATAGTTGGATGCTCAAACTCCAATAGATGATCTCCTCAAGCTCTTGTAGAATTGATTTTACAAACTCAAACTCTCAAATGCTTAAAAGCTTTTTAAACAAACACTAAATAAAACTTAAACCCTTGTTAAAACTTTGTTAAAATATTTTTTTGGGGTATGAGAATAGTTATGGCAAAGGGGTATATATAGGGTAGAAGAAAACAACCCAAAAAACCCCAAAAACCCACTAAAAACAAAAATCAGCAAGTTATCGTTACTGTGCAACGGTAACTTCGGCGGTCGACCGCGAGAAGTAAAACTGCAAAACTGCTCTTTGGACTGCTGACGGTCGACCGTGGCGGTCGACCGCACTGTAACACGGTCGACCGTACTTTTTCAGATTTTGACAGATGCTGAAATTTTGCGTATCTGGCTTTGTAAAATCAATTAAAAATAGTAAATCAACTCCAAAAATCATGAAATTTTGAGGGAAAGTTCTAAACATGTAGATGAACATGTTAGAGAAAGAATTTTTGAAATATCACTTCCCAGTTGAGAGAAATAATTGTTTGAACACAGATATACAGTTTCTAAAAAAAATTGCTGAAAACACGTTTATGTAAATCCAATTGAAAATAACAAAACAACTACAAAATTAGTAAAACTTGGGGAAATGTTTGTATATATGATGATAAACATGTAAATAAGAAAATTTTCAAATCTCATTTCCCAATTGTCAAAACGCATCTGTTTTGCAAAAACATGCACGAACATGTGCACGAACATGAGCTTATTAAAAATTTGATTTTGTAAATTCAAATAAACATAACAAATTAATTCCAAAATTAATAAAACTTTAGGAAACATTTATAAACATGAAATTGAACATGTTAGAAAAAGAATTTCTCAAATTAAATTTTTTATTTGTGAAAACTCATGTATTTTGCAAGTGTGTCCAAAATATGAAAATGTGATATACATAAAATTTGATGTTTTGACATAAACAACGTTTTAAAACCCTATGAAATGATTTTATAGACTTAATGAAATATGTATACAATGATTGTTAAGTCCATAAACCAAAACTTATGTATATATATAACTATATATATAAAAACCAAATATGTGTGTGTATATATGATTGAGCTTAAAGTACTAACACACATAATATAAAATCTAAACTAAATATACTCAAACTTGATTGATCTTCGATGTAGCTCAACTTGGTACACTTGCGGATAAAGCTAGAACTTGGATCTTCAATTTGAATTGCATAGGCTTCACTCCACAATTCCGCCAACCTCCATTTGATATGATTGTGAATGCTCGATTCCATCCATCCTTTAACTTGTTGTTTGTCTGCAATAAATAAAAATACACAAATACTAGACAAACAACATTAGTGGTAAGTTGTTTGTTAAACATCGTCAAAACAAAGAGGCCAACAACTTTTTCTACGGAAATAAAACCCATGAGAGGTCGTCTATTCTTCCTTGAGCGCTATCTACTACAAAGAACAGCTTGTTTTCGCTAAAACATTTTATACAACAACAGCCCTCCAGATAATGACATAACTTGAGATTTCCAGATTTCCTCGCCTCTCAGTTTTATGTACAAAGTATAACTAAGCATAGAGATAAATTAAAACCTGCAACTCCTAGTTATTCCGTAAAATTTCTCAAAGAGATCGACAATTTGGCTGAACAAATGATTCAAAGCGAGGCTCTGTCAAGTCCACAGTCTCATCATCTGGTGATCGCCAGCTGCGAGTGCCCGAAGTTAAGAGGATCAATTTCTCCATATATTCAGCTGATAGAACCGTGTGTGCATTTTTCTTCTCTGGGTCATCACACAGGTTGCGATCGACTGCCAATGGCAGCGAACATCTTGCTTGCGTTTTTTCTGAATTTGCTTGAACTGTTTGGGGAATTTCAACTGAAGAAGCTCGCTTATCTGTTTGCGGGCCACTTTTGATGCTGCGAAAGGAGGAACTCTGCAGGAAACAATAAGAAGAATCACAATGCAGAACTCTGCAGGAAACAATGAGAAGAAATTGCAATGCAGTTGGGCTGGGCTAAGATATGCTCTTCCTAATATACGAACTTGCTTATGTTTCATCTATGATTCTATATATGGATATTACAACAAGATCATTATTTATTGATAAAATCTACCCTTATGAATACCCAACTTTACAATCTGTTATTTGCCCTATAATACAAACCTGCATAGCTACGTTCACAACAAATGTTCAAAAAATAAATATCTTTACATCTACATCATTTAACGAATTGAACAATTCTTAAACATGTAGATATGACGTCCTTGAATAATATTACATAGTCTTATCTTCAGAAGTACCCGGCATCTCAGATTGCTCTGAGTACCAATTCAATAATAAAAAAGAATTTCTTGTTGATCCAAATGAAATCCGAATACTAATTAGGACACACACAGAAGATAGGGCCACAATAAAGGATGCTTATCAAAAACTGTGAACTCAAGTTCTAAAGACATTTCATTGATGTCCATCCTATTTTAAGTCCTGCTTCATTACTATTTCGTGAATTGAGAATGACAAGGCAGTAGAGTCATTTTAACATAAGGAAATTGCGACATCATCATTATTGTGTGAACTACAGCAACTGGTAATTAGAAATGTTGTTTTAACTAATCAAGAATTTAAAAGCAAAAAGGAAAATATACTTACCATAATAAGGCCTGAAGGAAAATTTCTCTTTTTAACCTTATCAGGTGCAATGGTTGAGAGGATTTGAACAACTTCACTCATGGATGGTCGTGATTCTGGGTCCCACTGCAGGCATTCTCGGGCTAAATGAGCCATTATATGCATCTCTTCTTCTGGGAAATTTCCTTTTAAAACAGGATCAGGCAATTCGGTGACTACTAACCTACTATCTCGCAATCGAGCGGTTGCCTACAGTTTCGTACACGCAATAAAAATTTAAGTACATGATAAATTCCTTCATATACACATGCTTCAGTTGTAAATGACAACTAAAACAGTGAAAAGCTTACCCATATTACAAGGCTCTCATCAACTTTATTAGGTGATTTATGAATAGGTTGACGACCGCTGATCAGCTCCAGAATTACCACGCCAAAACTGAAGACATCGGATTTAAGTGATGCTTTGCCAACAATGGCATATTCTGGTGCAAAATATCCAAATGTTCCTAGCATTCTGGCTGGAGAATTGGAACAACTAGTAAGATCATCGCTCAACAAACGCTTGGCCATACCAAGGTCAGTAATCTGCATAGTAAGATAAATATAGATGTAAACACCATATTCTCACTGCATGAAACAAGATCTATCTGAACCAATAAACAAAAGAAATCAACGCATGCTCAGTATGCCCACATGAGCAGTTCCTCTTCTCTCCTACGCAAATGAGATTATCATCTTAAATTTCAATTTCAACTACTCAAATTTTTGTTACTTATCTATGCTATTCTAATAGTTTGGGTTTAATGATTGGGTTGTTTTAAGGTCACTTCTCCTATATAGCTAACATTGAATCATATCTATGATGTGATGATCAAGAATAATATCTATGTGTTGCAATATTTTAACATGCTCAATTTGTTAAGAGAGGAGAAGAATATTCATGGATTCGTGTCTATTTGAAGACAAAAAAGATGAGTTTGAGATGACAGCTCATTTTTCTAAATAAGCTATCAAGAGATAGACATATGATGAGAATCCAGCTAGTCACATCCAAAAGTGAGTTTTCCTGCTTATATCTCTCGGTAGCTCACTTTGCTAAATGAGGTGGCAAGTCATATCCAATATCCCCTTTGAAGAATATATTGTTTAGGCATTTGCTGAAAGAAGGGAACTTTCGTAGGATTAGTTGTATTACATTCATTGTAACTTCAATAAGCAAGATTCTTACCTTAGCTCTGTATTTTTCATCTAAAAGAATGTTTGTGGACTTGATGTCTCGATGCAAAATCCTTGGAGCAGCTGCTTCATGTAGATATTCCAAGCCCCTTGCAGATCCTAGTGCAATTCTAACTCGTGTAGTCCAGTCCAAGGGTTCTTTACCGTGCAATGCATCTAAACAATCTCTTAAATTGCCATTTGACATGTACTCAAATACTAGGAGCCTCTCGAAATTCTTTCCATGGAATTCACAGCAGTACCCAAGTAAAGGAACCACATGGCAGTGGTTTAATCTTGAAATTAATTCAATCTGTTCCACAAAAGTTTGAAGAACTGAGATGGTAAGAAGATGCAAATGCTGTTATATGACAAAATGAGGACTTTAAACCAGATGATTTATTCAGTAAAAAGAAACAGTCTAAAAACAGTTATAACATGGGTCTTGGAACACCTATTTCGGGCAATGATTATTTATTGAAATGGCAATATTACTTGCCATGTCATACATATACATAATTTCAGTTTCCTTTGTATGAAAATGGTTTGAATCCAGTTTCATTTAGGACATCTAAACACACGAAGAATTAAAAAATTGGTTTATTTGTGTATGCCCCTTTATGCTTATTTGCTAAATGACCCCCAAAATCTCAAGAATTTGCAAACCTAACCCCAAATCATCAACTTTGGAAAAGGATACCCCTCAAAGTCAACAATCATCTACTTAGATAGGCTACCTTGTAATTGCAATGTGAAAACATCAATAAAATAGTCAAAATTTCACTCTCCATTCCAATAAAGTTAATGATTTGTTGATTTGGGGTTTTTTCCTCCCTAAGTTGATGATTTAGGGTTAGTTTTGCAAAATATTGAGATTTGGCAGGAATTTGGCATAATATTGAAATTTGGGGGGTGATTTTGCAAATACCCATGATTGAAGGGGTATATGTACCCATAATAAAATAAAATAAAATAAAAATTTGCCTAAACAATTAACTGCAAGAATAATCACAATAATCAGATCGATGACTGCATAAGTGCATTAATGATTACCTCAGTCAGAAAGTCATATTCAGCTTCGGGCCCAGCAGACAGTTTAATTTTCTTAATGGCAACCACTCTACCATCTAGAAGTTGACCTCGGTAAACATTGCTGCTTCCTCCAATGCCTATCAAATTAGCATTTGAAAATTTATCTGTTGCTTTCTCCAATTCAACAAATGGAAATTGGACAATTGCTCCCGGTAAGGTTCCCCTTTCACTTCTACAAAGGAAAGAAATCCTTCTGAAACATGCTGCATAAATATGAGATACAGTTCAGCAGTGTTGGGGAGTAATCAGCCCCAATCTAGAGTTGATGGACTTAAAGCAGAAACCAATTTTAACCCAAAAAGTAAAGCTACTAGGTATTGGCCCCAACTTTTATTTTAAACTGACCTTCAGGTTTCGCTTTGGACTTTACTTTTTTCTTTTCTTTTTAATTACTTGGACCATAAAATTAGCTCGGATACCATTTGTGGGGATAATTGGGCCCAACTCCTACTTTAAACTCACCTTCAGGTTGACCATTAACTTAGCTCGGACACCATTTGTTAGGGAGTAATCGGGCCCAATTTAGAGTTGATGAGCTATAAACAAAAGCTATGAACCAATTTTAACCCAAAAGCTATAGCTACTAGGTATTGGCATCAACTCCTATTTAAACTTTTCGCTTTTGCTTATCCTATCTGATGTGGGACTATACTCACATATTAATAATCTCACCACGCAGGAGGTATGCTACATCAAGATTAAAAAAATCACCTTAAATAAAACCCTATAAAGTTCATTATAGTTTTCTAATAAAAAGTTTTTTGTTAGTTTTGTGCAAAAACCTCAAAGTTCATGGCAGTTTTGTGAAATTTAGCTAAAATTAAATTCATACTATTATAAAAACTTGGCAGGAAATTCAAAGTTACCTGTGATGGGATTAAAGTGAGAATTGATCTTTGCTTGGTACTCTGGGAATGAAGCAGACCGCTGGCTAATTAAGTTTGTTCGACTATTCCAACTTGACTCTTTGTCTGAGGATAATGTTGGTGGCTTTGCAGAAAACTTATCTTTGCGGTAGAAATAAAATGCAATGGAACAGAGAAAACCAATAGTCATGACACATAGTAAGAGAATGACAATAACACCTTTGATGGCTAAGTTCTTTTTAGCAGTGGATCTTCCTGGAGAACCTGCATAGATTAAGAAGAAGAAAAATACTTATACGAGTATTAAAGAAATTATATTTATAGATATACTTTAAAAGGCATATATTTCAGCCTATGTTACCTAGGTACTTCTAATCTGAATCTGTACATGTATCCGACATGTATCCATACACGTATCCAAACTTCTTGGACATTCCTTACATATATGCATACATTTATTCGGGCATGTACTCAATTATACAATACATGTTTTAATTTAAATCACTTGTTATACAGTTTTTGAACATATATCCTACACTTCACATCCACTTCTTGAAACTCTTTGGACATAGGTCAAGTTTGAAATTATGATTTTGAAGCGTCATTTGGATGTCTAGTTCAAAAACTAGTGGGTTTCCACATTATAATCCACATAGTAAAAAAACATAAAAATATTGTAGGAATTTTAATTATTATCCTTGTTCTCATATAAATTATTAATTCCAATATATAATATGTGTATATCATATATTCACTTTAAAAGTGGGAGTTGAGGAAAAAATTTTCATAGACAATATTATCCCTACTCTTTTTTGATATTACATTATATTCTTAACTAAACTAAATACATTAATGATCTTTATTAATTAATTATATTATATGCCACTTGTCGAATTGGTATAACTAAGGACATCTTATAGAACTATAAGTAATCTAAAAGAGCAAATATTTAAACGTAACTTAGATATTAGTCCCTTGATTTTAAATATTCAATAATTCTATATTAGTCCCTAAAAATTTTGAAGTTGCTTGTAATATTGAATTATTAAAGATTTGAGAGGCAAATATGTAAATAAGCCATAGCTAAAAGAAGGGTTAATTTTTGAAAACCCCTCAAGTATGGGGGTTGTCTCAGAACACACTCAACTCATTTAATTTGAGAAAACACCCCTAACTATAGAGGTGTCGTAGATAATTCCTCTCAGCTTTAACAATTTTAGAACCCCCCCTCAACTTTTGGTATGTCACATAAAAACTCCCCTGACCTTTTACACTTCTCTCAACAAACTCTCTTAATGTTGTTACTTTAATATGTGATTTGGATGAAAAAGAAACCGTTTTAGTTAAAAAGAAACCGTTTTAGTTAAAAAGAAACCCTCAACTGATAATAATGACTAATTTATGATGTCTTTCCCCTTTATATCTCTTCTTTTTCTTTCATCTTGCAAAAATCAAGGTAATTCTTTTCTGGTTGAGGGATACTTGTCACATAATAGATTAGACTCAATGGTGTTAGTTTTGAGGGATGAGAAAAGTTGGGGGGGGGGGGGGGGGATGGGGTTAAATCAAAATTTTAAAGTTGAGATGGATTATCTGTACCCTAAACTTGGGGGAGATTTCTCAACTTAAAATAGTTAAAGTGGGTTTTCTGATAACCACCCCCGCAATAGTTGAAAGGAAGTTTTATAAAATTAACCCTTAAACAAAGCACGATTTTATGGCACATTTGGCATCAATTTTATAAAAGCGGATTTTATACCATGACTAACATTCACAAGACTGATTGGGTTATTTGTCCTTAAATTAACTTTAAAAATTTATTACTATAGATTCTCTAGGAGAAATTTACTTTTTATTTGGGATGGTATGAGAACCTTTTGATTCTTCTTGCTTTTCACGACTCAGATTTAATCATTTGACAAAATAATCATATGACAAAATAAATTATGCTATTCATTTTATGTTACTCACCTTCTTATAAGTTTATGAAAAACATAGCTTGGATATGAGTACGGTTGCAAATATTGGATTCTTCTAACTCCTTAATTTAAATTTTTGAATGTTGTTTGACATTGGATAAATCTAAACTATTTTGTTAAAATACAATCCATATTGGTGCATAATATGTATAAATCATTCTCAGATTATATTTTATAATTTTCTGACACTAGAGAGTAACCATTTTGGGAATTTTAAACAAACCAATTAGTATAGTTAGGAAGATGTGGAAGGATTAGAGTATTATATTTTGGAATTGATTACATAATTTGTGTTTTCTTTCCTGAAGTTGCACATTTTGACTCAGTGTATTCCAGAAAAAAGCTTTTGAACTACTATAATACTTGATCACCAGCTGTAAACAACAGTGGAAGTGATTTTTTTATAACTTCATAAACTCTAATAAGACTAGCTAAAACCTGTCATTTTTCTTTGATGAATTCAAGAAAAATCATTAATATTTGAAGATTCTAAACTTCATTGTCCGTCTAGAAGGCAAGATGTTGAGACCAACAAGGTTTTACTCATAGAAATATCCAAAATATTTAAAATATATTATGATAATCATAAACTTTTTCGCAACCTTTTAAAGTAGATAAATAAACCTAAAATACACAATTAAGATATTTGACCATGTGCAATGCATATGCATTCCACCTAGTAAATATTTATATAGTCGCATCCCTGTACCCTACCTTTTACAAATTTGTCGTGTCCCGCACTCGTACCCCGTACCCGTACATGATGCAACATAGTTCACCTGACTAGTTTGTTGGGTTTCCTTACGTAATATGTATTGATCAATGAATAAGTAACTCTTTATCATTGCATACAAGAATCAGTAATTTTAATCAGGTACTTGTTAATAAAACAATATGCTAGCCCTCAAGAAACAAACAAGAACATACCAGAAGTGCAATTGCAGGAGGTAAAACAACTAGCATCATGAATGGCTCCAGAGGCTTGAACAGTTCCATTTGATACACACGAGCAATTCCATCCTCTGCTATCTGCCATGAGGACCACACATTTTAATATTGTCATTAAGAGATCATTACTCAAAAACCATATCCTTAAACTTAATGTATAAATTATGGGAATTATGTATATTAACAAAACAAGTTCTTGGAGAGTCTGAAAAACTCCATCCTCCACTAACGGAGTCCGCTCATTTAACTGGTTGAGTTAGATATTTCCGAGTATACATTAGCCTTGGGATTAGAGATTCCAAAACCAAGCACTAATCTGGTAAGGGATGCCTTGAGTTTAAAAAGACATGATCCAGAAACTCACCTTAAAATATATCTTTGTTATATTGGATAGCAATCAAAATTATTTTCTATTACACATTCAAATTGGGTATGCTATAGACGTATAATGATTCCTAGAAACCTATAAGCCTTATAAAATGATGTCTTATATTCGCACTTAAATCTACTAGCAGTTAGGACACAGAGTTGTGAAAGGTTATCACAAGTCACACTAACATATGAGATATGATTATGGGACTCAGTCATTGGGATGGAGATCGGCATATGTAAATAATGAGCAAATATATAAATAAGTGTCGCTCGAATTCTCTATGACTTGTCATCTAAGAGATAAGAGAGTTCAGACTTTTGTAGTTAACAAATCCCGAGATAAATTTATGTTAGCAAATACCTGTATGAACATGTATTTACCGCATGACAGTAGTTCTACAGAAAACCGTTAGATTGAATTGGGTCAAATTCATACCAGGAATACAATCACAAGACGAAGAACAATTAGATGTGGGCGTATAATTTAATGCTCTTAGGGGAGCAGCAGCACATGTACACCTCCAGACTAACGTGTCTGCTACTTGTGCTGGTTCCTCTGCAAAAATTACATGGACGAATTAGATGTTAAGGTGTGCAAAGACAAAGCGAAGAGTATTTATATTTTTGAGAATTTATCCATTTACAGACAAGCTACTACAGCATTTGTATTCTAAAGCTAAATAATACAACTAACCGCAGAAAACACACTGTAAAACGAAAAATCCACAGAGACAAGCCAGGGAAATTTTCGGAAGCAGCTCCATTAGCTTCAGTTATAAACCCAGGCAGACAAAATATCCAAACTTCTTGCTCCCATTAGAATTACCTGAAGTGAAATGAGGAATACTTTAAATCATATCAGATAGAGTTCCCAATAGCCAAAAAAATTAATTTGCATATTGCTTTAATAAAACAGCATCATACAAATACCGCGATTCAACAAAATCAATCAGAACTGAAGGTTGTTTAGCTGTTCAGAGGGTCCACCGACATCAATAGATCATGGTATAAAATAGATTATCATATTGTTACTATGACAGTAACATTATAGATGGAACCATTTAATAATTGCAAAGGAGCAAACAACGCAAAACACAAGAGCACATTTCCATCACCGACATCGATTGTATCATAATGCGAAAAACAAATTGCTCAAAATGGGATAATTCTGCTGTTCAGAAAAAAGGCTTTCACTAGGACTATCATAGCACAATATGGTAATTGCAAAAGAATAAAGATAGTATAATGCAACACAAAGGCTTACTCTTAACTTAAACCAGATCATGCTGTAGACAAAGACTTAAAAACGTAATGAATCAATTTTCTGCAAAGTACACGATGTTTAAGAGCAAAATTGAAATGCATGTACTTTACTTACGACATTCAAGATTCTACTTCAATAAATCTCCCAAGACAATCTCAACTCCAAACGGATCGAAAATTATCCCCGAAAGCATCTAATTCTAGAGCGACCGACGTTTTTCTTCCACTCTCACTCCTCTAAACCCTGAACGCTAAAGCTCACCTACAAAGCATGCCATTATATCACTAAAAAAACATGAGACATTTCCATCTTTGAATATTTCAAAGTAACAACCCAGTCATAGCATTCCACATGACAATGAACAGCCCGAAAACGATATAGAGAATAGGATATCAAATTAAAAAATGGTAATAGAGACAAGAATCAAAGCTGAGAAAATCCCCCCTTGCCCACCTCAGATGAAAGCGACTTTCTGACAACCCCGAGCGAGACTCACCACCAGAGATCCGAGATATAAAATATAAAATAGAAAAATGGCAAATTTAATCTTTACTTTTCCCATTGAAAATCCTCACTTAAATACACACAAAGCTCTATCTCCAACTATTCAAAATTTGCAGTTGATTATCAACGGTCAGAAGACAAGGAGAAGTTGATACATACACTCCCCCTTTTTCTTTTTGCACGTTGAATTCCATTATTGTCTGTCATCAAAAGGGGGTGTAGCTGTTGAAGAGGGAGGATGTACATAGAGACAAGAGAGGAGCCTTAGCTTTAAAGACATGAAACAATAATAATTATTTATTAATTATTTCACCAATTCAAAAATAAAATATTTATTTCATCTAAAAACCAAAAAAAAAGATCGCAGACCCACCGCTCCCGTTGTCGGCGAGGGTCGTCCGTCCTTTTTTTTAAAGACAGGTTATGAAAAGATCGTCGGCATAAAGTGGGAATTTTACATGTTAGTCCCTATCAATTTCATTTATTGCGCATCAATCACTGAGAAAATGTGAACGTTGCGGGTGGAAAAGTTGTCGATTTATCAATAGAAAACGCGGCAACGAATCTGCGTGCACTTTTATTAATTAAAAAAAAAAAATTAAACAAATGGCTACTCATTAAGTCAGTTGGTTCCAGTTTCAAAATAAAGAAATTAAAGTAGAAAAAATAAAAATTGATTTACTAATAAGTTTCCATGAAACAAGCAGTGCAAATCCAGGGGCTTTTACGAATAATCAAACATGTCGGGTTGGAATACGCTGCATTTGAAGGGGGAAAAAAAATCACAAAGGATTGAATTCCGATCACGTGGGATCACGTGACGGGGGAATTGATGGATACGCACGCTCCTATTATCCTTCGAGTCGAAAATAAACAAGAATATACATATTTATATACAGAGGAAGCAATTTCAAATTCGGAGAGCGATCGCAGTACCTTGACGGAAAGAGACAGAGAGAGATCAGTAGCTTCAGTTGAGTAGAGTACTCCGGCGGATCATTGCACCGCCTGAAGAAATCAAGAGCTCTCTCTCTCTCTCTCTAGAGCTCGCTAGGGTTTCAGGGTGGAGAGAGAGAGGGGGAGAGCGACTATGAACTCAGAACGAAGAAGCAACTCTCTTTCTCTCTCTAAGATCGAGTTTAGGGGAGGGGGGAGAGAGAGAGAGTAACGGGGACCTCGGGAAGAGTGCGAGGACTGTAGTGAAGAGCGAAGTCCAAGAAAATATTATTACTATAATTGTTATCAATTGTATTTTTAATTTTAATCGGAGTTTGGAGAGAAAAAGAGCCCCTCTACCCGACAGTGGCCTCGTGACTTGGAGCTGAGCGACGGTGGAACGGACGGCTGAGATTTGAAAGGAGGGTCGAATCGGTTTTTTTTTTTGGAGTTCAGACGGAAGTTACGGAATTTACTAATCAGTTTATTAATCAGTTTATTTATGGAATTAATCCTAACAACAACTGTTTAGCTAAAGTGTGGCATCTTCTGAAGTTGAATAGATTATGAAGAACTAACTCCATTGTTTGGTTGACTAACCAAAAAAGGAAAAAACTCCATTGTTTGGTTAGAATTTCTAAGTTCTAACTTAGAATAATGAACATAGTAGTTAGGAATAATACGACTTCATAGTTTGGTTAGCTAAGCTTGTACCAGTGTTCGGTTGGCCTTTTGGAGACTTCTATATCTTTGTTTAATGTTTGGCAAGTGAATATTTAAAAGCTTTCTCTCTTAATATTCCCATTGTTCCACACCAAACAACCTAAAAACCTTAGTTGTTTTATTATTTCTTTTTTTTTTGACTGAAAAACAGGGAGAGGTTCCCTGTTCATAATATATATATATAAGGTTAACCAATAATTATGATTACACATAGATTATAAAAGTGAAGGGAAAGAAACATGAGGCGCATTGAGCGATAAGGAGCGGACCTTGTCGTCACCTATCAGAACAATTCGCCTATGTTTCAACCCACACAAAAGAGCAAACTACGAGAAAAAAAGGAAAAAAGAGAAAAGAAAAGACAGCAAAGTGATTGAACACCCGATAAAACAAACCACAGAAACAAATCCACCAAAAAGAAAAGATAAAGAGGGCTACGGAACCGGACAGAGCAATCTGTCAGAAAAGTAGACACCCTCATATACTGCGGCGAGCTTTTATTATTTCTTTTATCTTCAATGTCTACCACATTTAGAATATTTCTTTTTTGACCTATTGAGGGAGTTAATGCGTGCCGTGCGGAAGCATGCTCGCAAACTAACCGAGTTGGCAAGCGATGAGAGAAAAACCAAACACGAGTGCAATTCACAAAATTAACAGCCAAAATCACATAGACACAGAGATTTATGTGGTTCGGCAAATTGCCTACATCCACGAGGAAAGGATGGGGAGATTTCACTATATGGAGGAGAAACAACGGGTTACAATCTCTTAAATAACTCTCAAAATGACCCAACCAATGATTTCACACTCCCTCACAATAATCTCCCTCACAAAACTGCTCGAAACAATGCTAATTCTATGGTTAAGAAACCCTAGAAACGTGTGTTTCTATTTATATCAAAACTCAATCCAAAACAAACCAGGAAATAAATCCGGCCCAAATCCGCTTTCCGGTCGACCGCAGGGGTTGCACTGGTCGACCGTCCAGAGATAGATTCCAAGTTCCTGTAATGTGCACATTTTTGGTCGTCCAGTCAAACTCGTTCGGTCGACCGATCAGAGACAGGGTTTAAGACCCTGTAATCCAATAGGTCGTCGGTCGACCGGGCCTATGTCATCGATCGACCGACCTGATAGAAACCTGTAGTCTCTTCCCAGCTTCAAATTTCCTGTTTTCGCTACGTTTTCTACAATTCTTCACCTCGGTGAAGTGTTTTCAAAACTGAGCCGACACCAACATAAGCACCAATGCGTCGTCTCACTAAATCCGGCTGCACCAATGAGGTTGCCTACGTACCCCCTCTCCCAAGGGATCAAACCGTCTGTAGTTCATCCAAATGGCCGCAAACGACCTCAATAATCACGAATTTATAACAAGTTTCTATAATTATCAAACTTATTGCTCGGGACCACCTTTGTGAGCAAATCCGCTAGATTATCTTTTGTGTGGACCTTCACGAGCTCCATATCATCATCTTCAAGAACATCTCGAACGAAGTGATAACGAACGTCGATATGCTTCATCCTCGTATGAAAGACCTGATTCTTTACCAAATAAATAGCACTCATGCTATCATAATAAATGGTGACGGATCGCGCAAAACACCAAGATCCTCCAAAAGTCATTAAAGCCAAATTGCCTCTTTAACAGCCTCCGTAATCATCATATACTCTGCCTCCGTCGTTGACAAAGCCACAGTAGATTATAAGGTGCATCTCCAACACACCAATGCACGGGTCAAAGTGAACACATACCTGTAGGCGTTAAAAAATACTTACAGACATTCAAATACCACTCAAGGCAAAGAGAAGACGATAAACGCCATTCTCTTAATCAAAGGGGATCATTCAAAGGAAGAGAGACAACATGGAAGAATAATGTACTCACCAAACATGCAGTACATGGTGCCGCGGATAAGGCACGACAGTCTGTAAGGCCGCGGATAAGGCGCGGCAGCCTGTAGTGCCGCGGCTAAGGCGCGGCAGCCCATGGTGCTGCGCTAAGGCGCGACAGCATAAGGTGCAGCGGCTATTATAGGGCGTGCTATGGTGGTTACAAGACAGTTATATGATGATTATTTGAAATCCACGTGGCGGCATATCAGAGATAGAACGTGTGCTGACGTGAACAAGCAGTTAAACCATGAAAAATATGGTTAAAGGTCGTGGGAGAACAGTTTCAAGCACGATGGAACGTGGTGATAACCGATCCTTTGGCTACGGCAATCCACACTGCCGCGCCAATAGCCGCGGCAGTGTTGACTGACACGGCCAAAGAGCACTTGTTTGGTCAGTTATCTCACCCCTATTTCCACTGTTATGCACTGCTACCCCTATAAATACCTTTCTAGACACAAAATAAAGAAGGGAGAGAAGATTGGGGCATAGAGACTTGCACTTTTTGATAATTGGAGCAAGAGAGAGAGTCTTCCTTCTTCACAAACATCCTCAAGAAGCTTTTGGCGGTTCCTAGAGATCTAACCTCTGACTTGATCTTTAGAAGAGTGAACATCTTACATCGATAAGATATTCGCTTTAAATTCTTACTTCGATAAACGAAGGAAGAATTCCCAAAACCTTCACGATTCAATCAGAATCTGTGAATCGGTGGTCCACGGGCTAACGCACCCCCGGCAAAAGCAAAGATCCCACGCAAGCAGCGATCCAAACAACGATCCTGCGTTTGTTTCTAAAAAGTTATAATTTTCCTTTGTTGTGTAAAAGAAGTTATATAAAAAGACTATTTCTTTTGAATTTGTTGTAATCGATCGAAGATATAATAAATTCCACAATGAAACCAACTTTTGACGAAAACAAGCTGATGTAGGCGTCAAAAAATGCTTACAGACATTCAAATACCACTCAAGGTAAAGAGAAGACGATAAACGCCATTCTCTTAATCAAAGGGGATCATTCAAAGGAAGAGAGACAACATGGAAGAACAATGTGCTCACCAAACTTGCAGTACATGGTGCCGCGGATAAGGCACGACAGTCTGTAAGGCCGCGGATAAGGCGCGGCAGCCTGTAGTGCCGCGGCTAAGGCGCGGCAGCCCATGGTGCTGCAGTACATAGTGGCGCGGCTATTATAAGGGGTGCTGCGGCGGTTACAAAGCAGTTATACGATGATTTTTTAAAGCCCACGTGGCGGCATATCAGAAATAGAACGTGTGCTAACGTGGACAAGCAATTAAACCACGAAAAAGGTGGTTAAAGGTCGTGGGAGAACGGTTTCAAGCATGAGAGAACGTGGGTATAACTGCCCCTTTAGCCGCGGCAGCCCACACTGCCGCGCCAATAGCCGCGGCAGCCCACACTGTCGCGCCAATAGCCACGACAGTGTTGACTGACGCGGCCAAAGAGCACTTGTTTGGTCAGTTATCTCACCCTCATTTCCACTGTTATGCACTGCTACCCCTATAAATACCTCCCTAGACACGAAATAAAGAAGAGAGAGCAGATTGGGGCATAGAGACTTGCACTTTTTGATAATTGGAGCAAGAGAGAGAGTCTTCCTTCTTCACAAACATCCTCACGAAGCTATTAGAGCAGAAAAGGCTTGAGCTTTTGGTGATTTGGAGCAAGAGAGAGAGTCTTCCTTCTTCACAAACATCCTCAAGAAGCTTTTGGCGATTCCTAGAGATCTAAGCTCTGACTTGATCTTTAGAAGAGTGAACATCTTACATCGATAAGATATTCGCTTTAAATTCTTACTTCGATAAACGAAGGAAGAATTCCCAAAACCTTCACAATTTAATCAGAATCTGTGAATCGGTGGTCCACGGGCTAACGCACCCCCGACACAGGCAAAGATCCCACGCAAGCAGCGATCCAAACAACGATCCTGCGTTTGTTTCTAAAAAGTTGTAATTTTCCTTTGTTGTGTAAAAAAAGTCTTATAAAGAGGCTATCTCTTTCGAATTTGTTGTAATCGATCGAAGATATAATGAATTCCACAACGAAACCAACTTTTGACGAAAACAAGCTGGCGACCACAGTGGGAGCCAACGGTCTCGCTGCCGAGACCGTCGTGTTGCAGCCGATCAAGATTCCAGTTGAATCCACGATCGAATACGAGTTTGACCAAACTAAGTTTGAGGAATATCTCTCATCATCCTCTTCAAGATCATCATTATCTCGCAAGTACAAGAGGATCTCATCATTGAAGAAGGCTTATACGCCAAAGAAGGCTAAAAGTGAAGACTCTCGCCCAATCGTTGTTGAGATCTTGCCTCGCAACATTATCCCGGCGACTCCCAAAGCCGGAAGCTCTGCTCATAATGATTCCACCCTAATTAAGGAGTCGTTCGATCAAAGTTCGCCAACTCTGACGAAGAGGGCTCATCAGAGGCAACGCCAACGCCGCGCTCGCCAAATGGCTAAGGCCTTGGAACAAACCGACGGAGTTCGTTATCATGCGGACTTAGAGTCGAGGAGGCATCGAGTGGTTCAGTTGTCTCAACGACCAACCACTCATATCTCTGCTAAACTAACGACGGAAGAATGTACTATTGTCAAAAGGGCTCGCTCGACCCTCAAAGAACGCATACAAAAACATCGTGCAAACG